GGGAAAGAACATGCTTTCTAGGTAAAATAAGTAACATGTTTAAAAGGAATAAAGAAAATGAAACTGAAAGCAGATAATTTTTCAGGTGAGATCTACAAAATGAGGTTAGAAAGCTAGCTAAGAAAAATTGTAAATGTTTCCCTGAATGTCATGATAAGATCCTTAGGCTTGATAACATAAGCAACAGTAAAACACATTTATTCATTAAAAAATAACATTCAGGGCTAGGGATTTAGCTCAGTGGCACTGCGCCTGGCTCACAAGCTTAAGGTCCTGAGTATGATCCCAATCCCACCCCCAACCCGTACCAAAAGAAATTCATAGCAGTATGAAAGGTGGAACAAGGACAGGAATGGAGGGATGAAAGGCCCGTTGAGAGCTTACTGCAACAGGCCAGATAAATAATAAGTGGAGAGAAGGCCTAAAAATGACAGTAAAAATCAAAAAAGTAAAATCAATAAAATTCAAAAAAAAATGTAAGGGGTGAAGCAGATTAAAAAGGAGAAAATTAAAATGTTTACCAAAATAGTAGGCGGAACTAGTCTGACAGCAGATTAATTATAGAAAAGAGAGGCTTATAGATTTGGGGAGAATATCCATTGAATATTTAATAGTCTGAGCATTAAAGTACCTATGGTATAATGAAGTGGAGATGTCCAGTAGATCTCTAGATAAATGATTCTGGATTTAAGCAGAAAGCTCAGAGTTCCCATGACTTGGAAATCCCCCAAAATGTACTTGGTAATTGAAATCATGAGCATAAAGAAGACTGACCAGAGTCCCTGTAAAGCAAATAAAAAAGGTGGCACAGAATAAAATCTTGGGGAACACCAATATTTATGAAGCAAATGGTAACAACAGTGAATGGTAACAAGCAAGGAAGTGAAAAAAAGAAGTGACAGAAAGAAGAAAGGCAAAAAAAGAATACCATGTAGACATCAAGAGTCTTAATATGGATAAAATACATGTTAAGTGGGATAACTAAAAATGATTTCTCGACTGAAATTTTTAAATCATTAGTTTCTTCACTGACAGTCATGTCAATGGATGAATGAAATCAGATACAGATGCATTTGGGAAGTAAATGAGAGGGGAAAAAGCAATAGTGATTCTCTTTCAGTAATCTGCCATAGTAATAAAGCATAGAGAAAAGGCAAACAACTCAGAGCATGGAGACAAGGATAAATAAAGGCAAGGATATTTTAGTTCTTAGACTGGTTTTCTTCTCTAATATGAAGTAATACTTGATCACAGGTGCAAGCTAAGTGGCAGGAGTCAAAGGAAAGGGCAAGATCTAGGATGCAAGATGGAAGAATTAAACTGGCTGAGCAGGTCTGCAAGATGGTGGAAGTCAAAGAGTAGTACACAGGTTGCCTTTCCCCTGGAAAGGGGAACAGGGATTCTTCTGACACTTGGTGGGAAGAGAATGAAAAAAAGGTTGTCTTCATAGGTTAGCTTAGTAATGGTGGGAAGGCAGCTGAGGGACCAAACCACTCACCATTACTGTTTGCAATGGAGTTATCTGCCTAGAAGGAATGTTCAAGAATGGGCTGAGAAGCCCCTGCAGCCGCTAAGGTAAATGAAGCAAAGCTCGTGAGAAAAGATATCTGCCAAAAATAAATCCTACCAATTTTTTCCTCAGAACTAGCTGCTGGCATGAAGAACTAGAAGCTCACACTGAATAAAGTTAGGGACAGAAAGGAGGATCTGGTCACACCTCTCCTCAGGGGAGACTAAAGTGAAGGTATGGGATAGAGGGGCTTGTCCACAAGTGACTTAATTCTGACTCAAAGTAATCCCTGCACAGGATCTAAAAGTGATCTTATGAGAATGGAAGTGGCTAACCTGGAATTATGAGAGTTGGGGCAATTTAAATTCAGTAACAATCAGAATTACCAAGAACTTCAAGTACATTAAATACCACTGAGGGATAAAAAAAAAAAAAATTCCCACTTTCTATAAACTGCATTGTAAATTATTAAGACATATACAGTATGAAATTTGTCTATATGTCCAAGAGGTCTGCAAAACGTTAGAGGGTAACATGGCTTCATAAATGGTTAAAAAGAAAAACAAACAAACAACAACAACAAAAATTCATTTGACAGACCTTGAACTTGCCAAACCCCTTGCTTTGTCTTTTAGCCTATCAGTGTGACATTCTAAAACTCAAATCTTGGGATTAACTAGATTCTAAATCTTGTGCAATTGTTCCATGGATCTGGAATGAAATATTCAGTGGAGGGTGGAGCTTCTAATTCCTGTTTTAACTCCACTTAACCACAAAGAGGGAAAATACACTTTCTATGGACTTAGTCTAGGTATACTGTATTAGAATTTAATTTCCTGTGTGCTTTATTTTTTACTTTAGTACTACAATGAGTTTAGAATTGATACACTATTATTCTTTTATCACAGACTATCTGCACTAGTACACAAAGTATAAGTAACTTTATGATAACCCAAGGGTGCACTGTATTAGGCTGAAACATAAGACATGAAAATACAGAAATTTTTATCTTCTATAAAAACCTACGACAGCAAACACCTAAAAGATGAAGACAGATAAAATGGCTCTCTGAAAATTATGTTGTAAAAAGAACATTACTGTATTAAAAACAATCCCTTTAGTATCTATAGCTGAATTCATAATAAGGGATGCAAACTTAGTTTCCATAAAATAAGTGATTATTTTAGATTTAGAGGCAGGCACCTATTTTTCATCTTTAGAACCTAGCCTTACAACTCTCCATTAACTCAGTGGCAAAGATAAGACATCTGCCAACACTGAAGACAGCGTGAGCAAGTGTCCTCATGGTGGGCCGTTCATGAAATGCTTTAGCACATTGCTTCTGGACTCGCTGGGGTGACATCATGAATAAGGACTTTCCAGTAGACATTTACTTCCTTAAAATGGCAATTTGTGTTTAAAAAAAAATCATTCAATGATTAAAAAGATACTTCATGTATATCATTGACATTATTTATTTAAGATCATATTTACTAGTCTGTGAATACTCCTGAAGCAGCTGATGTTTGGACATATTGGGGGCACAGAGTAACGCATTCTGTATCTTGTAAACCATTACAGTGGCTTGCTGTCTGCCATTAATTGGCTGAAAGGGGTATTCCAGTTAACTTCTTCTACCTCAAAGGTCACTGAAAGTATATAGGTTACTGAAAAATGGCCCTAAGGATTACTTCATTATAAATGAAACTAAAAGTAAAATCAAACTTCAGTAAAAATGAACAAACAAATCTAGGATTTTCTTACATTAGATTCTAAATCCAATCTTTCAAATCTCTTGGATTATAATTACTTGTAGTCTGTGATTGTTAACATGTTGTGTAGTATATATGTTCTTTTGAAACATTATATAAACACAAAATTTCATTTTACTTTAGCACAAACACTATCAGTTCTTGTTTTATAATCAACATCTTAATTCAAATGCATGCTGCCAGTATTTTGTTGTTTCAGGCTAGTATTAGTAAGTACAATAAAATACTATAAATTCTGAATTTTACCACTGTGAGGATTTGAATGCATTAATATTGTATGAAAATGAGGGTTAATTAAACATGATCTTAACTATAAGAAGACCTAACAGAATTTCTACCTCCCAAAATACGATTCCAACAGTTCTTTTTAGTCTACTTGGAATAGGACCATTTAAAAAATAATACATGCTTTGAACTTTTGTACTCTTCAAACAAGCTTTGATGTCAACAGTATATTTTATTACAAATTTATACATGGTTCAACGTGAAGGCTGATTATACACACCACAATCATTTTTAGGTATAATGATATCAATGGCAAAAAGCATACTAAAGATTATGACGGGAAACACCTAATAACTATTTAAATAAGGGTGATCTTGATTATTAACAGCTTCCAACATCCATAATGCTTGGGGAGTGGAAATGGTGAGCAGAAATTTAAGGGCAACTGTTAGCCCCAAAACACAAGCCTTTATAATGTGGCATACTAAGGTTAATAATCAGTTTAAAATGGATTAATTTAGCATTCTGGATAAATTTAACAATTGCTGTTACTCCTACTAAAACTCAAATTTTAAATCTTGCAAAAAGTTCACAAAAGGCCGTGCAGATATGAAGTGTAACAGTCACGATACGGCCACGAAAATTCCTATTTTGCCAGTTTTTACAGAGGAAGCACACGTTTTTTAAAAGAGAAATGGATTCTGAAAGCATGGGGGGGGTGGCATCAAAAGACACCAAATTCGACTCTGCTGCCCGTATGTTTTGACTCCAAGGTACTATCTTCATATTTCGGGAGAAATCTGGGTAACTCTTAAACCGGTTTCCCCAAATAAAGTGGGAAAACTTCAACCTACAATTTGGAATGTATTTAAGTACTCGATGCGGGGGGGGGGGGGAGTCACGAGAAAGAAAGGGTGTTTAGGAAGCTTATTTTTAGGCTTAAAAACAAGGAAATACACCAGCACAGGAGTCTTCTGATAAACGCAGGGTCGGGAAAAAACTTAATGCGGCCCTTTTCAGCCCTCCGCTTCCCTGCTCCCGCTGTGGGGCAAAGCCCCTTCCGGCCACTTCACGCAAACGCGCGCTTCCACCGCCAGACGCCGGGGCCCTCCCACTCTCCCTCCAACCCCAGAGCGTGGACGCAAGGGGAGGAGAGGTGAGGAATCAGGGGTCCTACGCAGCTGCCGTCCCTCGCCCCCTCTCGTCACAATTCCCGTTCGGACAAGTTGCGCGGTTTCCAGTCTTCCTCGGGCTGCGTGTGGAGGTGCGGACGGGGTGAAGGAGAGGAGGTGCCTTCACTCGGGAGGAAGAGAGAGGCGAGCGAGGAGGGAAGGCAGGCAGGGGCGCCCGGTGACCGCAGGGCCCTCCCGCGTCCGCGCCCCGGGGCGCACAGGGCTCCTCACCCCGGGCCCGGCCACCCTCTCCGGCGCCGGCTGCGGGGGCGACCGCGGCGAAGGACGCAGCTCCGGGGTTGGGGGTCGGGAGCCACTCACCAAAGCACCAAGAGCCCAGCAGCAGCGTCGCCGCCAAGGGCCACATCTCCGCGCCGGCCGGTCGGGTGTCTGGAGCAGCCGCCGCCTCCGCCACCTGCACAGACGGGACCAGCAGCACAGTCACAGCAACACGGGCGCGCGGGCGCGCTCCCGCCGCCCCTCCCCCGCCCGCGCCGCGCGCGCACTCGGCCCCACCCCTCCGCCTAGGCGGGTGACGCGCGAACCCTGCGCTTCGCGCGCTCCGCCGGCCACCCGCTCACGTCTTCCCGCCCCCGCTCTCCCCCAGCTTCGTGTCCTCGTCCGCCACAGCGGGCTGAGCCCGTATCCCCAGCTCATGGGGTCGTCCGCCACAGCGGGCACCGTCCGCCACAGCGGGCACCCTCCGCTCCGCGGCTCCTTCCGCCTCCGCAGAGCCTGGGCCCCACAGTCCCCGCCGCGCCTTCGCTCCGCCGCGCTCCGGGCCCCACTGCCCGCCGCCGCCCGGCCTCCCTCTGCTGGGCCAGGGCCCCGACCCTCCCTTGGGCCTCACCAGCGCCCTTCTCCCCCCAACCCCCAGACCCCCGCGGGGTTCCCACGCCCGAGCCCGAGGGCCGCGCGGAGCCGGGGCGCCGTGACCGCTCCCTGCCGGCCCGAGCCCCCTCTCCCCGCCCTGACGCTCACGGCCGCCTTCTTTGTTTCAGGTGCGGGCCTCTCTCTCTCTCTCTGTCTCGTTTTTATCGAGTAAGTTCCAGTTGTGGTGGTGAACGTTCATAATGGGACTAACACAGAGATGGCAAACAGAGTAGACCGAGCCAGGACACCCCGGCCACCGGTGTCACTGAGCACGGTTTGTGACTCTACCGTGTGTACTTCTCTGCGCTGTTTGGGTTTATCGTGCTTGAAAAATGGGTTCAGAATGTGGCTCCAAGCTACAGTATGGACAGGGCCTCTGAATATATGGCTGAATCACACAGGCCGTATCATTCATCTCAAAGCAAAAGCCCTTTTAAAGCTACCGTTAGCGTTTATCCCGAGTGATGAACTCTCTTGTCAGTGTCAGGCTCTGGTGGCTGCTCTCATGGAGCTTATATGGTCCATTCCCTTGGTGGTTTTCTCACCTGCTGGAAAAGACAGCAGTTTCCCACCACAATATCCCACTTTTCCAAATCCTCTACCCTGGGCATCTCCCAAGCACCCATCACCACAGGAATAAAATTCAGGAAATAAAATCGCCACTCTGTATGATACTGAATCATATATACTGTAACTTTCTGTATGTGTTTTTTGTGTGAACCTCTTTCTCACAGCCTTACTACTTCTTTAAAATCAGAGAGGGCCTTTTAAGTTTCCCTTCCTTCAAGACCCTTCCTTCAACTGAACAAACAAAAGGGAATTTAATAAATATGCTGATGTGATTTAAGGCAAGTATTGCTCTAAGTGGAGTTTGATTGTGTTGTAAGTGATTGAAAAAGAAAGAAAATAATAGTCTAGCAGACATCTCACAAAAAAACAGTGGTTAATAACTATGGTGGTAACGATTTGAATGGCAGCCTTGACACCCTGAGTCTATCAAAGGAGCTGATCAATTCTCCAACTGCTGCTTACATGGATACAAAAGAATCATCCACCAGACTTTGAGCATTAGGGACACTGTGTATATCACAGAGCAGCTGGTTGGCTAAATAAGGCTGTCAGCTGTCCCGGCAACCGACCAACCCCCTAAAGCTGAAGAGTGACTGAAAAGGACTGTCCCCAGCCTGCAGAGGTACCTGGAGAGATCCAGTGATGCTCTGTTTTACTCTGGGAACTACTGAGACTGCTTAATGTCCCTCTGTGCAGAAACTGGAATAGGCTTAAGTCAGGCAAATCAGAGGCCACCTGGACGATCACCTCTGCTCTAGTTGGGACATGTTGATGGGGTGGTACACAGGCAGGAGGAGGCCTATCTCAGAGCGATGGTCCATAGCAACTTGTCCTAGTTTGCTATCTTCTAAAATAACCTTAAGCTCCTTTCTCCTTAAAAGTTTCCCTTATAATTTTTCCAAGCATTTTTATTTGAACCTTGAGCTCATCTTTCTGTAATGAGTTTCTTGGGTAGAAAGGGAAGGGATCATGAATATTAGAAGTTTTGAGCATACATAGTAAATATGGACGGTATTCCTAAATTAATCTTTATAACAGCCTTGGAAAGGGCAAGTGTCACGATCTCCATTTTATTTTTATTTTGTTTTATATTCAGACAGTATGATATCTTTTATTTTTATTTTTTCCCCCATTAACTTTATTGGTACATTTTAGGTATACAATACAGTTACATTCATCATTGGGATCTTGTACCATTACATGAGTCTCTTGGATCTTTT